TGTTTATTAACTTTATTAATTGAATATTGTTAATCTACTTGTATATTATGTTTAGTTTAGCTTCACAACATATTTAAAATTGGATTTAATAAAATATATTAATTAATAAATATATTTTATAAATTATATGTGTTATAATAAAAATTTAATTAGGTTAGAAGATTGATTTGCTTATTTTTATATAATTTTTAAGGTTAGATATCAACAATGCTTAGCGATCATAGTAAAAACCTGTGCTTAGAGCTACTAATAAAAAATATTTTTGGGACCTTACCTATATAAGTATTTTCCGGGGTCCTATATAACCATCAGATAATAATTTACAATATACTGGCCCATTTATAATTATCATACAATTAGATTTGGGGTTATATATTTTTCGTGAACTCTATTTGCTAATTGGCCTGATATGTCCATAGCGTTAGTATGAAAAGTCGTTTATGACTTATCTTAATACCGAATAATTTAAATATACATTTTATTATCAAATTAAAAGTGAAAAGGGTTTTATATCCTAAAATACTTACTGTACATGGATCGAGTTACTTGCCCGTATATTAAGAGAGATGGTTCCATTTGTGGGAAAATCTGTACTCGTACTACTGGCTGTACGAAGCACTGGATATTACATGAAAAAAATATGGAAAAAAGACCTTACCTTGTTTGTGGCATACCTACCATTTCCATTACAGAATGCTGTCCCAAACATTCGGCTAGATTTTATTCGCTAAATTATTGGATGAGGCAGAAGTATGGGGTTGGGACTCTTCAATCCGGAAAGGTCTCTGAATTATCTACTGAGGAGTGAGAAAAAATATATTATTCCATTCATTAGTTGATTATTATTGGAGTGGCGCAAGAGTAGAGGCATTTTTTATTAATGTATGCCGATAGATGAAGCCTTCTGCAGAATTATATTATATAAAAATGGCAGAAGGCTTCACCTACCTGATTCATAATCGAATAGTATTAGCAAATATCAAATAAGTCCTGAATATCTTCTGTAATTTGCGCATTATCCACTTTGCTAGAACTAGTAAAATTATCTATTAATTCATCGGGCGGGAGTTTACTATATCCATATCGAGTATTTTCCCCATTTTCCCAATAAATTTCTTCACCCGTTTGATATAAAGGAAATCTAGGAGCGTCTTTACTATCAAATGAACCTACTAGGTGATAATGTCTACGATTCTTATCTATAGCCTTAAATTTCAACCCATAAGTTACATGTAGTGCTGAGTTCAGTAAACCAAGTTTTGCCTGTTCCGTTTTTAATCCCGATTTTTTAGCTCTGCGAGATGTATCTGAATTATCAAAAACCCGAGCCATTTTTGGTACTAAATTCTGGAGATATGATACCGACTCAGGAGAATTCAGGCATGTTTTAACATCATCAGCTTTATATCTTGATCTATTGTCGATATCTTTAGCTGGTGTACAAGTTTTTAACAATTCTAAGCAAATCCGATGCTTCTCAGCCCGGGTTATAGTTGTAAGCCTATCTTCTCTGTAATCTTTGCGAGTGATAGCCTCAACAGCCGTTTCATTACTAGTGCCAACATCTCGTAATTGCCTATAAGCTCTAAACCATTTCATATGATTGAAATTCCCATATTTTGAGATGAAATCCTCGGTCAACGATTCAGGCGGAATTCCATAACAATCCACAATATGGTGCCGATCTAAAGAACGCATTTCTCCTAAAGTCTTTCTTGGCTTATTTTCTAGAAATTCAGCAGTCTCACGATCAAGAATATTAGCATTAGTTATATCTGATATCTCCTTCGTTTTAACAACAGAACATTTTGCTTTTACTATCTGCGACAATGAATTTTCATTAGATTTAGGGTCGGATTCTATGATGGAAATTATCATACCTGCCTCTCTAAAAAAATCAACCATTCTCCAACCAAATAAGCGCCAGGAACGAAATTTTTCTAACATATATGCTACCCATAATCGAATGGTTGGTACATCCTTATTCCGGATGATAGAGTCTATGTTAGGAAATATTCCTCTATTCTGAAGTTCTCGGGGAAGACATTCTCGTTTGGCATTCAACAACCATTGGAATAACCCTTTCTCTGTAATGGGAATATTAGACGATCTTTACTCGATATGACATACATAATCCTTAATACATCGCATGCGGAATAGCATCTGATTCGTTCCGGTGTTTGTTTCTATGTAGCTATTAAAGAGACAGAATGCCCGTTCAAACTTAGGATTAATGCAAGATACCCCTATTTTTAGAGTGCTAGTATATGCAACAAGGTCTACATCGATCCATGATTCTTCTACATTGCTAAAATCTTGAGCCTTTTCTACTGGATCAGATTTACCATGATATTCCTTGATTCGCAATTCTGGAAAATCGGTCTTAAGGGAACAAACAATCCCTTGTACATCTTTTCTAAGATGGCAGATAAGTGAAGCACTTTTCCGATTCTCAAAAGGTAGTGAAGATATTTGCCTAGCCCAATCCCAAAGTTCGGCTAACACAGTTTCTTTATTAAGAGCCAAGCGGAATGTCTTATTTTTTTGAGGCTGGTAAGTATTATGAATAATAGAAAAAGATATATTCTTACGAAGGGCCTTAATCCATTCAATGTTGAGGTCCGTTAGGTCATTATCCATAACAATAATGCGCCTAGCCTTTTGGATTAATTTATACAATTTTTCTATTGATTGTCCCGCCAGCTGACTTTGTGCTTGAGCAATTATTGATACTATTTCATCAAGCCATAAATCATATTGGCTCAGAGGGCATTTACATTTTTTACTGCATTCGCATTTATTAGTAATACGGTGTAAGCTCTCTATCTGACATACTACCCTTTTGTGATCGGGTAGATTTATATTACCATCAATATCGCAATATGACTTAAGATTAAGTCTGGTAGTAACAGCATTCGAGTAAGAGTGGCGCGTGGATAATACTAGCAAATTCACGTCATCAGATATAGTAAGATGCTCTAGAATATATGTTTTCCCCGTCTCCCAAGGTGAACCTACATAGATATCGCCTTCATTCAGTAATGGTCTTACATATCTCTCCTCATATGTTTCTGTTGCTGAAAGGGACTCATTATACTTGACCCAAGATGGCATTTTTATGAAAGCTTTAGGGAAACCTGGACCCTTTATCCTGTGAGATGTGGGAGATAAAATTTTATTTTCTTGCTGAATTTTTTCTGCAATAGATGGGTCGCATTCAAAAACTTCCCCGCACTCATCACTATTTTGCCGAAAGCATTTTACGATGAACCTCCCACTGCTAGCACATACACGACTGAACCACCGCTGATCCTTGTCATGTATACGTTTACATAGTGGGCATTCTAGTAGAACTTTTCGGTTAAAATATACGAAGTTTTCTGAATCTTTTTCTTTGATAGTCCAATCCCTAAGATAGTTAGAATGCTTTTGCAAAACTAGGTCCGCGCATTTTTGCAATACATCCTGACCCACAGATATTCTTAGCGGATTATTATTTTTTTCTGTGCTAAGCATTCGAGGTCTTACTTTAAGTCCTAAGCTAGTAGGTGGTTGAACCCTAGCGTGGTCGAGCTCATTCCACCCATTATTTAGTGAGAATTGAAGAATACGCTTTACACGACCTTTTTTTGCTGAACCAATAAGGCGAAGGTTAAAGTTTTGACCAGGTAATATTCTATCAATATACTTGCCGAATTTTTCACCAGTTATGGTATACACTAATTCAGTAAATGCTTTGAGTTCGTGATGATCAATAAGAAGAGCCGGTGCGTATAAAATATGGTAGCTATACTTGCTAGGGTCCGATGATGTAGCGATTACTAATCCATTGAGAATATCCTCCCAGCTACAATCAAGAATTCGATACAAAGCTCTTATGAAAGATAGGCAGATTCGAAAGAATACTTCTTGCACCTTAACACCAGTTGCTTCCATATCTTCTTGCGAAGCATCTATGTCAATCACGGCTCTTAAAGGTTTTTGACCATTAATACATTCATGGATCCCAGGTAAACCATAAACTTCAGAAATGTCATCGGCAACGGAAAATTTTGGGGCATGATCGGCATCTTGGTCGATTTTTATAACCAATTTATTTTCCACTTCACTTCGGTCATAGGCATTATACAAGCTAGAGCCTTTTTCATTCGGAAATAAGAATGAATAGATTGGGAGGCAATCCAATGACCCTTTGTCATTCGACATATCTCTAGGTGGTGATGAGAGAATTTCCCGAATGGCATTTAGCAAATCCTTAGGGGAAAATTTATCATTGAAGTTTTCTTGCCTCAAAGTATATGTCACATTAACCTTTCGTTCTTTCACAGCTTCGGTAGTGCTGGTTGAAGCGCAGGAAGCTTCTTCATTATCGGACTCATAATTAGACTCGTAGTTATTATAATCATCTGATCCGCAATCAGAATCATTATCATTATCATTATAGCTATCTGAGTCACTTAAGTATTCACCGGGGCCAGCGCCGTCATAGCGGGCGAGAGTTCCTCGAACAGTTTGGTCGGAAATAGATGAGGTATGCATGTCGTCAGTAAGTAAAACTTTATATACTCCAATATATTTCCGAAATGTTTAATTAATTTTTTCGTCCTTCGAAAAAAGAGGCGATAGCGAACTTATTAAGCAAGACGTAAAAGAAAGACACTCAGATGTATCTGAAAAAATGAAGCCTTCTGCGGAATTATATTATATAAAAATGGCAGAAGGCTTCATCTTCCTAGGTATGTGTCCAGATATGAGGTAACTTCGGAAGTGCTTAGGGATATGTACCCAGGTAAGATATGACATCTAGGGTAAGCAAGTGCGCAAAATAATGGCAGAAGACTTATCCTTCCTAGATATGTACCCGGGTATGATATGATATCTAGGGTAGGCAAGTGCGCAAAATATTGACAGAAGACTTATTTTATGATATGAAGACTTCTTTGAACCTAATTTTTCTAGATATGTGGTCAGGTATTACCCTAAAAAGTGAAGCCTTCTGCGTAATTATTATATAAATATTGGCAGAAGCCCCATCTTCCTAGATATGTACTCAGATATGGTATAGCCTCTGCGTAATTTATTATATAAAAATGGCAGAAGGGTACACTTTTCTAGATATGTACTTGGGTATGGAAGGCCTGGTCAGAATCAATATATACCGCCTATACCGGCAATCGAAATTGGCATACATGTACTGGCAACAAATAGGCAACTGATATGTATCAACAAGTGAAGGTAACTCTGTAATCATTATATAAAATATTGGGAGAAGCCTTCATCTTTCTAGACAAGCAAATCGCGAATAAACATATTCCTAATAGGTGATATTTAGGGTATTCTTCTGCGTAATCATTATATAAAATATTAGAAGAAGAATACCCTATCACTAGCCCGCTAGAATTACATACCATAGTGCCGGCCAAATTTAACCGATTTTTTATCTATGGCTGATCAAGTAACTTATGTGAGGGTGTTCCGGTGCCGAACAGTATCACGTGACAGGCGCAGTAAGGCGCAGTATAAAATCGGCCAGCACTATTTCACAATTTTGGCCAGATCTTTGGGCATAATATTTCGGCATCCAAGCTGGCCTGAAACTAATGAACTAATAGAAGCACTCAGATTCCCTGCCAGTTCCATGACAGTTCCAGGAGAGTTCTGGGCACTACCAGGTTACTATCATAGTGCCAACTTAGATCATGTGTCCCAAAGATCGGCCAGAAATTATACACTGCGCCACCTGACATGATATTTTTTTACCATATTTCAGCATTTTGATGGATAACAAAATAGGTGAAGAAGGAAGCACTCTCGAATCCTTAACAGGCAACCAAAGAGGCGCAGAATGGCAAAAACTTCATCATAAAACTTAGAATCCAAATAATTGCAGACAAACCAGACCTCCAACATAGAATTCAACAACCAATCAACCATAGAATCCCAATATCATAAATTATATTAGAAAATGATTATTGATGCATAGAACTAAATAAAAATAGGTATATTTTGATTATTTAGATTATTTAAATTATTTAGTCATAACTAGGCAACAGTTTAACAATAACTAAGTAACATTATTTTAGATTATTACCTAGTCATAACTAGGCAACAGTTTAACAATAACTAAGTAACATTATTTTAGATTATTACCTACTTATTGTTAGACTGTTACCTACTTAAATAACCTAATCTAAGCCGTTTATTACTAAATAATATAATTATATTATTTAGTAATAAACGGCTACCCTCTATAAATTTGATAATATTTTGATTATGAAAATTGTGAATTTATTTATAAAATTTCTGGAAAGTTTTAATTTTTTTGAAACATTCTGATCACTTGGCTCATCTAAGATATTATTGTCACTATCTGTTTCTGCTATGCATGCAGGTTTAGAAGTGGTGTTTTGGTAGTGTTTTGGTTAATTAACTCATACTAGCTGAAAGGCATTGTACAAAATTTCTTCTCCTTATTGCGTTGCCTTATTTTATCATTAATGCTTTTCTTATGTGCTTTATTCAAGAAATTATCCATCTCTTTCTTCTCCAGTGACTTGGTAATGACTTCTGGTAACACTTCTGATACCATATCATTTGCTTTACAAATAGATGTATATTACTTAAGCTAATCTTTCACAGATACATCAAAAGCTGATATTGTTACCTTTGGTATTGCTTTCTTATTATTCTGTGATTACCCATTAATACTAAAAGCTTGATTCTAAAATTGCAGATCTCAGTATTCTCCTTACTAAGCTCTGCATTCTTAGCCTCAAGTTTAGTAATATGCTGTTTCAATGATTTAAGCTTAGATGACATGATTTATATATAGTATAACTAATACAATTTATATAAGCATTCAAAATAAAAAAAAAATATGTGTTTTTAATCGGACTTCTAGCTGAAATTTTTTATTATTATATACAAAAATAAATATAAAGAATTGGGACTTATCCATGATATATAACATCTATGTTAATATTCTATCCTATTATTCTGTTTTTACCTACTTCAATAAGCCTTATGATTCGATTTGACTATATAAGTTCTATATTAAACTTTTAAAAACTTTACTATATCTAATATTGAGATTTTATTAGTGACTTTACTATAACGAATGAAATTTATTATTGATTGGATTGAGGAAATAAAAAAAGTTTACTATAAGTAAAATTTACTATAACAAACTTTACTATAATAAGCTTTGACTGTATTAGCTAATATATATCACTACTCTAATGTACCTTTAGGATTTTGAGTTTTGAGATTTCACATTAAATCTATATAATATATATATAAAAAACTAATTATTTATAATATAATATATTAAGTCAAATTATTACCATTTAAATTGTGCTAATATAAGGAATTTAATAATAGTAAATTTTTATTTTAATTTGACTTTTAAATAGCAAGTTTTATAATGATAATATAAAATAGCTAAAATTAAATATTTTGCTTAAAGGTTTTTTTTTTGAAAAAATTTAGTAAGAATTTTGCATATTTTGATAAATTTATATCATTATACTTAAATATAAGTACCATTTTTTAAAAAAATTATAATTTCTTAAAGGTAAATTGAGTACAAAAATAATAATTTTCAAATTTTTTTATTGATATTTTTAAAAAGGTTCTATTTGGTAAATATTAATTTAAAAAGAAAATGGCGATCTTACATTTGAAACAATAAGTGATAGGGACTGTATTATTTATTAAATTTTAATGTCTTTTTTGAATATGTTATCAATCAAAAAATTTTTTTAATTATGGGCAGTAGTATTAGCCAAGAATATCACGTGTAAATCACATGATTTATTCGATCATAAAGAACTTATATACCAATTACCAAAGATAATGAATAACGAATAAACTAATACTGTAGCTTAATAATTCAATTAGTTAATGTACTGTATATATTATGAAATAATTTTATCACGAAAATTTTCAGTTTGACATTTTAATGATTGGATAATATAGAATCGATTTTTGAACGAATGATAAGATACTAAATTGAAGAAAGAAACATTTTTTTTAAATATAGCAAAGTTCGAAATTTGTTATTCGATAGAAGTATTGTGTATCATTACACTTAAGCTTCAATAAATGTATTCCTATACATTACTGTATCTCTTTAAAATTTGGTTTTAATAATAATAATGCTATCTGTGAATAAATGCACGCTCATACATTGCTAGTAAAATTGACAGGTCAATATCTCGTGATTGAAGTGTTGAGCTTTACATTTAGATATGCAACCTCAATAACATCGGCGATCTCCTTTTTTAAAATAAATATCTTTGATGATTTTATTTGACAATTGTTTAAGAGGTGAGACGAACTTAATTTCAATAATATAAAAAAACATTTATTATTAGAATTATTATTCTGCATGAGTTTGGTGGGATAAAATAACGCCATTTTCGGTGTTGGTTCGATCAAAAAATTGTGATTAATTGATCAGTTATTGCCATCATTATGCTTGATGGTTAAAATGTAAAACAATGTAAATCGCATTGTCGCACTAAATGCAGAACAATATTTACAAATTATTAGTAAATCAAAAAGACTAGGATTATATGGCGATCTGTACCTGCATGCTGCTCCGCGCATACAAAATTTTTTATCGTTAACAATAAGTATTACATCTTCATTTCACCAATCGAAATACAGATGCATTCAATTATTTTATGTAATACATTTAATATTGTAATTATTAAAGAAATTTCATCGTTTATTCTTCTAGAACAAATCGATGTCGTCATTTAAATGTAAGAACCTTTACATAATCATAAAAATATTTACAATTATAAAGCTAAAAATGAAAATATTATGTTTTAATTAAAAAATGAACATTTATCTAACTAACGACTATTTCCGATCCCATAAAAAAATAAAATGTCATTGGTGCATTATGATTTGATCATAAGACTGTTTGTTTCATTATATATCAATAAAATACGTTGTACAGTAGGTCAACTCATATAAGTAATCTTGGCGTTCGATTTATATTAAAAGGTTTTAGACCAATTTATATAATTTATTTAATATAACAAGTTTTATCCCCTTAAAATATACATATATATTTTTTTGGGGGGAAGTTCTTTTTTTTTTTTTTGAGGAAATCCTCTTAAATATTATACATTGCGAAACTTTTGAATTTTTTTTTTATTTTTATTTAATACAACTTAAAATTGATACCATTATTGTGTGCGTGAATACTGTCACTCCCTTTTGAGAAGGAATATTATTACCACAATAATTATTTATATATTATTTATTAATTTAATATTACAAAGTATATATTATACGATAATATAATCACATTGTTAAAATTATATTTAATATGGCCGGAAATCAACAACAACAACGTAAAGGAAAATGGTCGCCCGACGTAAGTCAAGACATGATTTCATTTAATAATTAAATGTTTAAATGCGCATTTATTTTTAACTGAATACTTCTTCAGGAGGATAATTTATTAAGAAGTCTCGTAGCTCAATATAGCGTTGATGGTGAAGACATTGATTGGTTTATCTTGGAACAAAATTTTAATGGTATGAGAGACTCTAAGCAAATTCGTGAGAGATGGGTTAATCATTTAAATCCTTCAAGTAAATATTCAAAATTCTTTTTTAAAAAAAAAAAATTTATATATACAGTACATATATATATTTTTCTTTTGAATTTTATACATACTAAACAAAGATTCTTTTTATTTTTGTTTTAGTCAAAAAGAGAAAATTTAATGAAAGCGAAATAAAAATTATTGAAGATGAATGTTCTAGACATAAATTTAAGTGGGCAAAAATCGCGAAGAAGATTCCTAACGCTACTCCTCTCATGATTAAAAATTTTTATAATAATAGATTAAAAAAGAAAAATAATTCTAATAGAAGACAAAATAATTCAAGCACTACTATTCCTATTATTACTGTTAATAATTTTAACTAATATGATGATATCTTAAATATATATATATATTATCTAGTTATTAATTAATATAATACAACTTAATGAATAAAATATATCAATATAAAATAATACATAAATGAAAAAAAAGGTAAACTAAAATATAGAATTATGTAGTCTTATTATATTTACAGAGACACCGCAGTAAGTGTCGTTTAAATGTTATAAAGTATAAGTTTAGTATTTAAGTAAATTAGAGGTGAATAATAATAAATCATATAATGAAGGGTGTTCTTATTTAAAAAGGTGTATATTAAATAGAATACTAGTAAGGCTTTTGGGTATTTTTTCGTTTAGATTTTAAAAAGAAAATTATTAGTAATAGAATTAATATAATAAATTTGATTAATTCTAGCCTTATCTCATTCCTAAGAATCCTAATTAAGGTGTCCTTAATTTACGTTTAACAGTCCTTCTTTTAAAGTTGGCATAAAAAATGCATTGTTAGATATTAGTAAGATTTCCAAAAATGTTTTTTTTTTTGCTAACAATCAATTAAATGATAAAATATAATAGGTACATACATATAATATTATTTAAAATATAAATTATATCCATTTTTGGATTTGGATTTAAAAGAAAATTAATCGTAAGCTTATAGGGTATAATTACTGTGATAGCTGGTTGAACATTATTGGCATTATTTCTGAAAAATCAACAACATTTTAGCATATTATAAATACAGTGTAATGTCTCACAAATAGGGATCTAGTAACAAAAAATACTCACTGCGGAGGAATGACAATTGGGACAATTGGCTGTATTGGCGGTATATCTATAAAATATAAATAATGATATAGAAACATATATTACCCATCAACACAAATTTAAAATGATATGATCGTGTAACACATTTTATCAATCTTTGATATATTTTTAATATGTAAAAACACTTCAAGTGTAAGGGGCAAAAGATATATTCGTTCTTAACATCATTTGATAATATCTTCTCTTTCAAAACAACATTGCTTTTAATTACTCATTAAGTTTCCTTCAATCAATGAATATACATATAAAAGTGCAAAGATCATCAAAAACCCAAGGCCCCAAACTGGCTCCAAACTGGCCCAAACTGAACCTACCTTATCTATATAATATTACTTTTCAACTAGACAATAAATGTTAACTATCTTACAGATTACTCAACTATCTAACTACCTGACGCTGTCATGACGAACCTTACCGATATATATTTTTGGACGTATTATAAACTGCATATTTTAAATTGAAACTTACTATTAAGTTCGGCAAATCTAAAATTTTTAAATCCCATATTTTATTATTAACTTAGAATAAAAAATTTAAATATATTACAAAGGAAGGAGAAAATTTTTTTTTTACTTTTTTCTACAATCTTGCGCTGTTTTCGTTTCAAGTAAAGTTCCGATTTTATTCCAATCTTGACCATGTTCGTTAACCAACTGAAGAAGTTGATTTATCTCCTACGCATTTTAGATATGATCATGATAAGCATTTTGTAATATATAATATAATCTATAATTAAATTTCTTAGGAAAAAGTCGATTTAAAATGTGTACGTATACAGTACATGTTCAAACCAACAAGGACCTCGTCTTTGTAAATTGCGGGTTTGGTGTTGTTGCTGATTCATTATATAATACTAATACAAAAAAGAACGGATTAAAGTAGATTTTTAAGATGTGTAAGTTTGATTAACCTTTTTATTTATGTTCATGATATGGGTTTAAATTGAGGTGTTTGGTTCGGTTCCTTTTTATAAACTATAAATCGTCATGGACTTCGCCACGCGATTGATTAACCGTTACCGTTTATAGTTTTTTTATAATATTAAGCACTGAATGTTCTAGTCGGTTACATGTGGTTTACCTACACCTTAAAATAGGAAGGTAATAATGAATGGTGTTGCGCCCATGGAACGCTGCAAGAATTTAAAAGAAAGTCATTTTGGTGCAGATCTACAGAGAATGAAAGGATTTAGGATGAACAAAGATGTCATTTTATTATGTCAATAATATTAATAATTTTATCGTTAAAGATGGAGCTTTTTTTTAAAAAAACTTTGATAAAAATTTTGAACATGCTCTGTGATTGATATCATGTAATCTTTAATTCGTGAATTTTATTTAAAAAAAAAATAGAGATTATTTAAAATTTCAACAATTTCTTTATAATTTATTAGCATTAATAATCAACCTTGAATAAAAAACTATCTTTATTTGATAATATTGTATATTCGGATTTATCTTTTTTTTTTTTTGCGCTAGATGTTATAGTACATGTATGATAATAATATGAGAACTAAATATATCGAAAAATTTGAGCTTTATAACGTATTTTTATGAAATCCAAACTTAATATCTTCAGCTATAAACAAGAAAGAACGTAGTAATTTTTAAACCCATTTAAATTATACACATGAGTTTAATTGTAATTCTTCAGACTTTTTGCAAATACTTTTTCTTTTTTGCAATAATTAAAAGGAAATAAATTTTATTTAAATGCGCAGATGGTCATCATTTGTACTACCTTAACAAATTCTAATAAGAAATGTTCTCTTTTTCTTGGCATTTTAAGGAAAAAAAAGGAACATTTTTGGAAATTTGACCAACAATCTAAATAGAAAATTCCATTTATCGCTGTAATGAACAGGTCATCCGAATTTCTTTCTGTTGGAGTTTTCTCATAATTCTGTAATTCAATTCTAGAGATTTAGAGAGTACAAATACAAATGTATGCTTTAAGTAAAAAGATAATTAAAAAACATTATATATAATATATTCATTTGATATGGTTATAGTTATAAATAGCATGAATGTATTTTAATTTAGAATAATCCTAACGCATGAACAAAGATATATATGTACGCCCAAGTCAATCATAATATATTACTAACCAGAACAAGGCTTAGTAGTTTTTTAAACTGCGGACAAAAATCTACTTAATAATATTCCGCAACCATGGGAAATGAATTTTCATGTCCCATTGGAAGGTGTCAGCCTTATATAAATAAATAAATATTAAAAAAAATTTTACTTAATTTTGTATTAATATTTATATTAAAATTATTAAAATTATTTAGTTTAAAAAAGTAAGAATATTAGATAAACGTATTTTTACTTATTATTTTTTTTTAAAAAAAAAAGCACTAATGAATTTACCTGATAAATCACTTCTTTCAAGTTATAAAACAAGTTGATCTACTTCACCCGCAGACAAAAAAAAAAAGTTTTTGTTATGTTGTGTAATTCACATGGTAGTATGTTTGTAACATAAACGTAAATGAGTGTGAAAGTATGGTATCGGAAACAAATCCTATTTGAGATTCCGAACCGAAAATGAAAGGTCGAAAAAGAGAATCAGATTACCAAAAACGCAACATCGTAAGGCTATAAAATTTCTATTATTATTAAAATGTGAATTACATTATGCATAAGCTATGATAACAAGAATAACCTAGATATCGTCATCTTATGTTTTTGACTTTTTTTTGTGTATGACCTCTATGGAATCTTTTAGTTATTAATTTTCCGATTTATATTTTTATGAAACGCCAATTTTTTTTTTATGTCAACCAATCGAATCTTTCGCAGCTTGTGCTAACTAAATTTAACATATTTAGTTATTTATAGCAATAACTGCTTTATTAAATTTACGCCCAAACTCAATTTCATGTACGTAATAACCGTTCTTGTGAAAATATTCACTATTAAATCTTTTTATTTTTTGTGTCGTTTTTTCATTATGTTTTTTGCGTTTCGTATTACTTAGTATAATATTATAGAATTAGCCGAAAATAGTAACAATTATGAAGAAAACCTTACAAAAACATTTTAATATAAAAGTTCGAAAAAAAAAAATATTCATATAATTATTGTGCAATGTAACTTCTTGCGTTTTTTTATTGCCATTGAACAAGATTCTTATTCGTTGATATAATACTTGTGACACGAAATTCTATACATTTCTTAGGTTTGCAATTTTGCAATAACAAATAGTAATAGTGTTCCATTCAAAAATTTGAGTTAACTACAATTGGTCTTTGATGTTACAAAAAAAAAATTCTCTCTTTTAAAGTACTACTTTTTTTGATCAAGCTTCAAAGGTTAAACTTATTCTGGCAACTCAAAAGATATACACATTCTAATAAACTAAATACTGAGGGGGGTAATCCAAGTTCAATGTAAATGAATGGGTTGCCAATTTTAGGGGTGTCTAAAGCCGTGTTCTATCACGTGATTTTCCAACTGGTAATGGATATGTTACACAAGTTAAAAATAGTGTAACTTTAAAATAGATAATAATAGTGATCAAAAAATATTTAGTCAAAAAAGTTAACCGTTAAACTGCCCGAGTCTATACTAATAAATAAAGGATGTATACAGAAATCTTCATTAGTAAACTTTTAACGGTTTTTTTTGCGGGATAATGAAATATAAATATGCCCTGTTTCCTCCAATGTTATAGCCTTATATAACTCGAAATTTTTGTTTTTTTTTTGAATTTTTCTCAACTTTTTAAGTACTATTCTCTTGCACTATAATTTAGTATTTTACTTATTCTACTGCTACCAATATATAGCCAGTGGTTTATCGTACAATATAATCATCCTCACACGGTTTCTCTTTTTCTTTCTTTATAACCGTTGTAAACATTTTATTAATATAATATGGTAGGAAATCGTAAAGGAAGATGGATTCTTGACGTAAGTCTCTCTTTATTAATTACTGCGGTTGTATAGATAATTATCATTCATCTTATGTTTAAACTTCATCAATTTAAATGTTCAGGAGGATAGGTTATTAATCCGTCTCGTAAATGATGGAGAAGATATTGATTGGTCTGTCCTGGAATAAATGTAATAATGAATGGCGTTACGCCCATGGAACGCATCATTTTGGTACAGATCTACAGAGAATGAAAGGATTTAGGATAAATAAAGATGACATTTTATTATGTCGATAATGTGATTAATAATTTTATCGTTTTAAAAGTGAAAATATAAAAGAGCTTTTTTTTAAAAAAACTTTGGTAAAAATTTTGAACATGCTCTTAATTCGTGAATTTTATTTAAAAAAAAATAAAAAAATAAAGATTCTTTAAAATTTCAACAATTTCTTTATGATTTATTAGCATTAATAATTATCCTTAAATATAAAACTATCTAAATCTTTATTTGATTATATTGTATCTTCGAATTTATCTTTTTTTTTATTTGCGCTAGATGTTATAGTACATATATGATAATAATATGAGAACTAAATATATCGAAAATTTGAGCTTTATAACGAATTTTTATGAAATTCAAACTTAATTAACTTCAGCTATAAACCAAAAAGAACGAAGTAATTTTTAAACCCATTTAAATTATATGCATGAGTTCAATTGTAATTCTTCAGACTTTTTGCAAATGCCTTTTTTTTTTTTAATAAAATAATGAAATTAGTAAGTTAGTATTAGTTTAGCAAAGACAAGATTTAAACAATAATTAAAAGGAAATAAATTTTTATTTAAATGCGCAGAATGGTCATCATTTTGTACTACCTTAACAAATTCTAATAAGAAATGTTCTTATTTTTTCTTGGCATTTTAAGGAAAAAAAAAGGAACATTTTTGGAAATTTGACCAACAATCTAAATAGAAAATTCCATTTATTGTAATGATGAAATTAAACAGGTCATCCGAATTTCTTTCTGTTGAAGTTTTCTAGAGATTTAGAGAGTACAAATATAAATGTATACTTTAAGTAAAAAGATAATTAAAAAACATTATATATAATAGATTCGATATGGTTATAGTTATAAATAGCATGAATGTATTTTAATTTAGAACAATATGTCCTAACGCATGAACGAAGATATATATGTACGCCCAAGTCAATCATAATATATAACTAACCAAACTTAACAAGGCTTAGTAGTTGTTTTTAAACTGCGGCAACAAATCTGCTTAATAATATTCCGCAACCATGGAAAATGAATTTTCATGTCCCATTGGAAGGTGTTAGCCTTATATATATATATATATATATATATATTTATATGCATTTTTTTTTAAAAAAAAAAATTCTTAATTTTGTATTAATATTTATATTAAAATTATTTAATTTAAAAAAGTAAGAATATTTTTAATACTAAATAAACGTAAATTCCTGTTCGATAACATGATTTATTATTATTATTATTTTTTTTTAAAAAAAAAGCACTAATGAATTTGGACACTAATTATTCGTTTAAAACCTGATAAATCACTTCTTTCAAGTTATAAAACAAGTTGATCTACTTCTCCCGCAGACAAAAAAAAAAGTTTTTTGTTATGTTGTGTAATTCACATGGTAGTATGTTTGTAACGTAAACGTAAATGATATGGTATCGGAAAAGCAAATGTGAATCCTATTAGGCTACACAAACATAATATTCGGCAAATCTTATTTGAAATTTCGAACCGAAAATGAAAGGTCGAAAAAGAGAAACAGATTACCAAAAACGCAACATCGTAAGCTATTATTATTAATAAAATGTGAATTACATTATGCATAAGCTATGATAACAAGAATAACCTAGATATTGTCATCTTATGTTTTTGACCTTTTTTTGCGCACGACCTCTATGGAATCTTTTAGTTATTAATTTTCCGATTTTATATTTTAAAAAAAAAAAAATGAAAACGCCAATTTTTTTTTTATGTCAACCAATCGAATCTTCCGCAGCTTGTGCTAACTAAATTTAACATATTTCATAAACTTTAGTTATTTATAGTAATAATTGCTTACGCCCAAAACTCAATATCATGTACGGTATAACCGTTCTTGGGAAAATATCACTATTAAATCTTTTTTTTTTTTGTGTCGTTTTTTCATTATGTTTTTTGCGTTTCGTATTACTTGGTATAATATCTGTCTCTTATACACATCTAGATGTGTATAAGAGACAGATTATATTGTATCTTCGAATTTATCTTTTTTTTTATTTGCGCTAGATGTTATAGTACATATATGATAATAATATGAGAACTAAATATATCGAAAATTTGAGCTTTATAACGAATTTTTATGAAATTCAAACTTAATTAACTTCAGCTATAAACCAAAAAGAACGAAGTAATTTTTAAACCCATTTAAATTATATGCATGAGTTCAATTGTAATTCTTCAGACTTTTTGCAAATGCCTTTTTTTTTTTTAATAAAATAATGAAATTAGTAAGTTAGTATTAGTTTAGCAAAGACAAGATTTAAACAATAATTAAAAGGAAATAAATTTTTATTTAAATGCGCAGAATGGTCATCATTTTGTACTACCTTAACAAATTCTAATAAGAAATGTTCTTATTTTTTCTTGGCATTTTAAGGAAAAAAAAAGGAACATTTTTGGAAATTTGACCAA